CATTTTCGAAAGAAACCTCCTATTTTTGCGCAAGAATCCGGTTACAGTGTTAAAAGGGTGTGTGTTTGCGTTGTTGGGGTGACTATCAGGGTGTCTGTCATATTGCTGTGGGTGTTGTCATGGAAAAGACTGTGAAGGAATGAACAACTCCAACACCAACGCCCACATCCAATATTAATCAGTCAGTTTTTTAGGGATCATGAATAAGAGAGGTTTGGTTTGGAGATGGCTTATCTTCATTATTTTCGTTTCGTTAGTATGCGTATATGGTTTCATAAGTTTAAACGAGAAGTGGGCAAGCGGTCTCTTGTGGAATATTTCCAGAGTAGGAAGAATCAAGGCTATCTTAAGAAATTCAAATTTAACTGAGATTACTTTGAACTACGATGGTGGGAATGCGAGACAATGCAAAATTTTAGCAGAGAATGACGATCACTTCTCTCGTAACAGCAGCTACCGTTTGTCTCAAAACATCAGTGGAGCAATATTGTGGCCTTATCTCGTTGGTGGTCTCACGAATCAACGCATGGGTTTAAAAGATGCTATATATCTCGCAGCTAAATCAACACGACCGATAATAATTTCTCCGTGGCTGTATTCTCGACGGATGCGACCTAATAGTACGTCTATTATGGATTGGATGAAAGTTCCAATAACAAGAGTTTATGATGTTGAATACTTGATCACGTGTTTAGCACAGAAAAACATCTCAGCATTATATCCCTGTCATCCTGATACCTGTGTTTCAAATTTCTCGCCGCCAAGACTAAAACAGACAGAGATTGAACGTGGCCACAATAAGACGTTGCCTTTTGTCATTGCAAACTTCAATCCAATTCCAATATTTGAGACGCCCAATGAACATCATCGAAGAGAAGAAATAGATAAATGCATTACATGGTCATGTGAAGCACAAAAAATTGGGAACAGCATACTGAACGGTATTAGAATGAAATCTGGCAAAGAAACATTTGAAAATGTTGTGGGCTTTCATCTCAGAGTTGAAGATGATTTCAATATGCATATTGCAAACGGACGCAAGAAGAGAAATATAACTTCTGCCAAGTTATTGAGCTTCATACCAAACGAGGTAGTAAAATGTGCGCTTGATTGCTACAACGCAACTGGTGCACATATGAATGTTTCAGGCATTTGGGTTTACATGGCTTCTGGAGCAAGAAAAAATAGTCCTGAATTAGGTGAATTCAGAAAGTTTTTTCCACGCATACTTGCGAAAGAAGACTTCCTGTTAAGAAGACCCCCACTAGGTGATGATTATCTTGCAACAATAGATTCCGTAGTACTCGAGGAACTATCTTTCTTCGTTGGTTGCTGGAGCTCCACTTTTTCAATCCAAGTAGCTCGCAATAGACGATTGAAAAATTCAGCATCAGCTCTCTACACTATGGATATTCCTTGTCAGTGTCACAAATATTATACTCCGATAGTTGTGTGAAACTATCGTAAACCACATGAAGAAAACAGGACACTAGCCAACCAAAATCATAATACATGTTACCCACACACATCCCTACTCTTGCAGCTTATACAAAGACCAAGCCTTAATCAAAGTCTACGA